AAAAGTCTTTTCAGTTTTTTTTTAGAACAAAAAAGGCTTTTCATCCCAAAAAAAAGGCTTTTCAGTTTTTTGGGAAAAGGCTTTTCAGTTTTTTGGGAAAAGGCTTTTTAGTTTTTTTGGAAAAGGCTTTTCAGTTTTTTGGAAAAGGCTTTTCAGTTTTTTTGGGAAAAGGCTTTTCAGTTTTTTGGGAAAAGGCTTTTCAGTTTTTTTGGGAAAAGGCTTTTCAGTTTTTTGGGAAAAGGCTTTTCAGTTTTTTGGGAAAAGGCTTTTCAGTTTTTTTGGGAAAAAGCTTTTTAGTTTTTTTGGAAAAGGCTTTTCAGTTTTTTGGGAAAAGGCTTTTCAGTTTTTTTGGGAAAAGACTTTTCAGTTTTTTGGGAAAAGGCTTTTCAGTTTTTTTGGGAAAAGGCTTTTCAGTTTTTTGGGAAAAGGCTTTTCAGTTTTTTGGGAAAAGGCTTTTCAGTTTTTTTGGGAAAAGGCTTTTCGGTTTTTTGGGAAAAGGCTTTTCAGTTTTTTTGGGAAAAGGTTTTTTTTTTCTTCGGAACAAAAAGGTTTTTCAGTTTTTAAAAAAGGTCTTACTAAAAAAGGGTTTTAATAATAAAAAATAAAAAAAGGTTTTGATTTTAAAAAAAGGTTTTGTTAAAAAAGGATTTTGATATTAAAATCTACGGACCTAAACACACATGGAGATTAACATGGCAAAATATGCACATAAACATGAAAAAGCAAAAGGTTTAGTAATTTAACGGACCTAAACACATTAACATGGCAAAATATGCACATAAACATGAAAAGGCAAAAGGTTTAGTAATTTAACCTACGAAGCGGAGGTTTGCTTCGGTAAATGTGAAAAAGGTTTGAATAAGGGAAACTGGAAAGCTCCAATCCTTCTGACGAATTGTGGGAACGACCGCCTTTCTTCTCTGGGGATCTCCTTTGTTTCTCCCTTTCTCTCTCCTCTTTTCTGAAGAAAACCTTCTGACCCCTTTTTCAACAAGGCAACACATGTATATATAGGGAACAAATTAGGGTTAACACCAAATTGTCAACAATGTCCCTAAAGCCCATTTTAAAGCCCAAACTAAATAATTAGTTAAGAAAAAAAATATAATTTAAATAATTTAAAATAATTAAAATAAACTTAAAATAAAAACTAATAATCCTATTGATTCCTAAAATCAAAAATATTATAAAAAGAACAAAAATTTTTTCAATATTTTTTATTTTATGATTTTTTGGATATTTTTATGAATAATTTAGAAAAAGGTAAAAAAAAATAATATTTTAAAAAATGATTTAATTAAAATACGAAAATAATAATTAAATAATAATAAAAAACTATTTTTGTTATTTTTTAATGAAAGATAGAAAAATTTAGAGTAAAAATAATAAAAAACGAAAAATGACAAAGGTGAGATTCGAACTCTCAACCTCTCACACTCACAACTCCTTACACATGTCCTCTTGCCAATTGTGCCATTTTTACTTTTTAGAAAAAAAAATGCATGCCATATGATATTTACCTGGAAAAAGTCAAACGACTACACAAATTTGTTAGTAATTGATTAAATGCAATAAAAATGCAATGAAATGCGACGACAAATCTTAGGGCAAAATTTGGGGTATTACAATATGCAAATGATTGGACTTTGTATATGATGTAACTATGCAAATGAAATGCAATGAAACATAAACCAGGTGAAATAGGTTGAGCAAATTTTAGGGTGCAACACCCACCCACTTATTATCTGAATTTTCTCTTGAGGGTTAACATTTCCCCCTCCCTCACTTTACATTTTGTCTCGTTCAACTTGCTCTCACTATCACACTTTCACTCTCACACAAAAACAACAAGTGCACCAAAGTTCTCTGTGAAATTCTCCTAACCATTCAACATTCCAGGTTTGAATATTCTTTCATTTGAATTTAGTTCTTAGGATTTTTGTTAGGTTTGTGAGATGCAACTTGACATTATTTGATCAGGGTTAGGTTAGCATTGATAAAATTTGTTGCATGTTGTTGTTGGTAGTTTAAGATTGTAGCCCATGTTATTATTCTTTTGTGATTGCATGTAAAATTGAGAACAATTTATTTTGGAACAAAACAAGGGCTGAAAACTAAAATTTGCAGCCTTCGCCGGGAAGTTCGCACTGCGAACCTGGGGCGAGTTTTCGCCAGGCCTTTGCACGGCGAATTTTTCAGCGAACATAGCAGATTTTTTGTTATTTTAGTGATGCATGGGGCTTTTTAGGGTTCCTTGCTTGTTTTTTTGGACTAATCTATTTGTGTATTGGATGTTGTTTGTCAGTTTTGTTGGTGCAGATGGCTCCTAAATTTGTTGCGTCCAAGAAAACGAAGATCCGGAGCACTTCACGCCTGCAACCAATTCAATCCGAAAGTGAACGGTTTGTAGGACCTAAGCAGACAACAAGGTATGTGGCCTTGGAAAAGTGAAGAATCTTGTCAGAAAAGTGATTCAACATCAATCCTGAAGGGTCCTAAAGGGTCGTTGCTGCCATTATTCACAATAAGCGGTGGGATGCTTTGGTTACACCTGCCGACAACTACAACATTGAGGTTGTGAGAGAATTTTATGCCAATGCTCTTCCAAAAGATGACGAGCCATTCACCTGGACCACAAGAGTTTTAGGCAGAAAGGTGAGTTTTGATCGAGACACCATCAACAAAGTTCTTGGAAGGCCCCTGAATTTAGGCGAAGACGAAATCGATGACTATCATAGGGACTTAAGGCTCCACAGAGATACAAACCTGATTTTCGAGGCTTTACTTTTGGAGGGAAAGTTGGTTGAGTTTAACCCATATGGGGTTCCAAGGCGTTATCACCGAGAGGATATGAATTCGTTGCCTCAATTGGTGCTTCTTTAGGTTTTAAGAAATATCAAACCGAAGTCGCACACCTCTATAGTGCCGATCCCAGTGGCACACTTGGTTCACAATATACTTACAAATGTTCATATCAATGTAGGTCAAATCGTCACGGATGAAATGAAATATGTGGTGGAGAGTGGTCTTAAGGACGGGGCTCGAGTTAATTTCCCCTTGCCTTTCCATGTCTTATCATGGCACATTATGTTCATGCGTGGGTTAAGCTACCTTCGCGTTGACAGGTAACAATCATGGCTGCTATTGATGAGAGGTATGTGAACAAGTACTACCGTCCGAAAGGTTTGAAGGGAAGTTCTTCTACTGCAGCTGCTTCTGATGTCGGGGGTACTGAAGGCCCCGGGGTTACATTCTCTCAGGGTTTTGATCCATTTCAGCAGGCTATATGTAACTATAATTGGGACTGGATGGCGGCCACCAAGTGTGCGATGATTGATATTCATGACTCTATGCATGTACTCCAGTTGCAGTGCCGTGAGTCCTCCGTTGCACACAACATGATGACTAGGGAGAAATTCCTAGCCCATGCGAGTTGGCCTGAGGTCAGGCCTATGTTTGGAGAGGGGGTGGGTACTTCTGGTCCTGATAATGAGGATGCTGATGTAGGCGATGATGATGATGATGAGAGATCCGAGGATGAGGAATTTGGTTCAAAAGAAGATTTTAAAAGTGTGAAGGCTACAAAGTACGATGAGGACTGGTTTTGTTTATGTTTCTATTTTGTGAGCATGATCCTGAGCAACTTCCTTTGGTCTGCAAAGTGAAGTTTTTTTGTGCTTAGATAATTGCTTTTATTATAATTATTGTATTTTTGTTTTGGATAATATTTATGTATAATTTTGGAGTGTTTTTACACCTAAGCACGTTTATATCTATTATTATTAATGTTAATTAGTTTTAATGTTAAAAGTGTTGTTTATATTGTGTAGTGTAAATTTGTGTACATTTTTTTGGTGGTATTTAATGTTTCCCATGTTGTTGGGCTCTCAATGAACTTCTAGATTGGTTGCTCTCTGTAAAGAAGTATATGTTGCGGTAAGAATATGATATCAAATTATTGATTAATTTGAATCACAATCTTGATTCACAATCAATCTTTGATTTATCCGAAGGAAAGGCTAAAGAAAGGAAAACCTAATTTGCATCATAAACACAATGCGGGAAGAGATCTAGGGTTCAGGGGTTGGTTAAGCCTAGAGAAGTTATTAGCATCCTAAACTTCTGTAGTACTCTACAGGAACCTCTTGTTTTAAAATGTGCTATTGCTAATGGTTATCTGCTTAAAGGGTAATGCTAAGGGTTAAAAGGTAAAGAAAAGGACCTAAGGAGTTAGTCCTAAGTATACTCGCCAAGACTCGCATCTTGTGCCTACGTATCCGAGGTAGGGGATGGAATCAGAGTAATCGTAGTTCCCCTCACAGAGGGAGGAAGAGGAACTTCTTGACTGTGGTCAAGGTTCCAGGGGGACGCAAACATTCATAGGGAAACGCTTACTTGGAGTGCGGCGACTCCGATTCTATGTTGTAGAGTTGAATTGAAAAAGGTAAAGTAAGTATTCCACGGCAGGAACTTACATGGAGTGCAGCGACTCCTGATCCTAAGGCTAGGATAAAGGGGTGGATGTCCACGGCAGGACGCCCAAGCATGAGTACACGACTCAAATCTTAAAGTTTGAAAGGGTAAAGGTATGGGTGTGTCCGCGGCAGGACGCGTAAGCACGAGTACAACGAATCAGATTCTAAGGCTTGGACGGGCGAGGGTAAAGGCATTGACACGGCGGTCAAACAGGAAACCTTTCCTTCGGAGGGGATAAACGATAAAACAACAAATGGATAATGATAAGCAGTGAAGATAGTGAAATATGGAATTAATTAATTAAAAAAAAGTTAATCTCGAATTACTAATTACTAAAAAAAACTATATTTATGAAGGTGTAAATTAGTTAAAAACTTAATTAACTAACTTCTAAAAAGGTTCCAAATTAAATAATTAGATTTAGAAAAAGCTTTTTTTTAATCAAGTAAGAATATATTAACTCAAAAAACAGGTCAAGTACAGAACGGTGATCCAACGAGGATCCAACCCACCAACAGACTCAATTACATCATAAAACTAATAAGGTGTTTTCTAATCCTACTGTTTTGCCATCCTCTATAAATCACATTATCTATGATTTTTGTAACCATGTTTGTATTCTCTACAATGTTTTCAAAAATAATACTATTTCTATATTTCCAAATGCTGTAGACACTTTCAACTGTTAGCATCTTCAAAATACCAGCTTTCCAGCCCTTCCCCTTTGTGAGATCAGTGATCCATATTAGTTCTGCCTCCCATTGTTGGGGTTCATGTTGAATGTTAAACCACTCGAGGATTTCCTTCCATATGTGCCTTGTTCTTGGACAGTGGGAAAAAAGGTGATTCATCGTTTCTTCTTCAGCTTTGCACAAATTGCATATGTTGTCTTCAATCATTCCGAAATGTTTCAATATTTCTTTGGTTGCAAGATTCCCATGACAAGCTTGCCATAAGCATTGTACTGCTCGCGGTTGTCCTTTGTTGAATCTGATCAGTTTTCTCGAAGGTACTCTTGTGCCATTATCAATTAGTATCTTATAAAAGGCTACGAATTTAAATTTTTGTTCGGTCATAGCTTGGTTCCATTCATGCCGGACCTTGTTCATGTACTCTCTTTGTTTCAAGATGCCCCATATGATCCACGAGTTATGTGTTTTGGTTACATACGTCATCACCTCATTGCCTTTTAAGTAGTGCATGTGGATCCATTTGACCCACAGTGTGTCGGTTTTGTTGCAAAGGTTCCACAGACATTTCAAGAGGAGTACATTGTTCCAGGTATGAAGGTTTAAGATGTTCATCCCACCCTGAGTAGTTGGACTGCAAGCAGTTTTCCAGGCCACCGGGCATTTTCTGCTCCCAGTATCTTTTCCAATCCAAATGAAACTTCGGAAAATTGCATCTACCTTCTTGATCATGCATTGGGGTAGGGGAAGGCAATGCATCCAGTACTGTGCCATTGCATAAGCAATGCTTTTGACTAGTTGCATTCTTCATGCGTAGCTAAGCAGTCCAGAGGACCAATGATGTATTCTAACTACTATTTTATCGACTAGGGGCATAAAATGATTGATGGTTAGTCTTTTGCTCGATAAGGGAATCCCCAAGTATTTGAAAGGTAGTACCCCTTCTTGGAATCCTGACAGTTCCTTCAAAGTTTTCCTGGTTTCCGTATCCAAACCCCCAAAATATATTTTGCACTTGTTGGGGTTCATCAGCAGTCCTTTGGAGTTGGAGAATTTTCCGAAGGTTTCTAAAATCATTTCCATTGATATTTCGTCTCCCCTACATAGCAGCAGTATATCATCTGCAAATGTGAGGTTGGTAATTTTCAGCTTTTCACATTGGCAGGTAATTGAAATTTGGATCTCTTTGCCTCTTGATTAACAGTCGGTTCATGTATTCCATTATAAGGACAAAGAGGATGGGTGAGAGTGAATCACCCTGTCGAATTCCACGCTTTGCTGGTAGCACCTCAGTGTACTCTCCCATGATGTTGAATCTGTAGGATACAGTGGTGATACCTATCATGGTCCATTGGATAAATTTATGTGGAATGCCCATCTCCTTCATAATGGACTCTAGAGCTTTCCAACTGACCATATCATATGCTTTTTGCAGATCTATTTGCATCATAATTCTAGGCGTGCCTCCTTTCCTAGTGTATCCCTTTAGAAGTTCAGTAGCAAGCATGATGTGGTTATGAATGTTCTGACCTTTTACAAAAGCAGTCTGGTTGTGACTTACCATACTAGGTAGGACAGATCCCAGTCTGTCAGTCGGGATCTTGGAGATGATCATGTAAAAAGTGGTGCAGACAACTATAGGTCTGTAATCTTTAATCTCACAAGCCTTATTGCTTTTTGGAATCAAAGAAACAACAACATTGTTGAAAGGTTTGTACATTTTACTTGTCTCAAAATACTCCTTAACCGCTGCAATCACATCGTTTTTAATGGTTGTCCACCTGGCCTTGAAGAATCTGGCTCCATATCCATCCAGGCCTGGTGCTTTGAGGTCTCCAATTCCTCTAAGAGCTTTGGTGATGTCTTCCTCAGTGATGTTTTTGATGAGGTATTCCCTCCGCTCCATGTTAAATTGGTTACCCAGCCTCATGGCTTCAATGTCAAAGTGGCTAATATTGTTATCCTCTGTGCCCATCAAGTTTCTGTAGAAATCCAACACTTCTTTTTCAATGTCATTATGAGATGTTAGTTGGTTGCCATCATTCCTTCTCAGGTTGTTAAGGCAATTAGCTTGCTGTTTATTTTTTATAGCAGCATAGAAATAATGTTATTTCCATCTCCCTTCCTAATCCAATCGATTTTTGCCCTTTGTTGTAATATATGCCATTCAAGTTCATTCAGTGATATCACTTCCTCAGTTAGTTTTTTTCCCTGCCCCATCAAGGTGCTATTCATTCTGTCCTCATTCAACTGCCCTTGTGCTTTGTTGAGATTTGCTCTGGCTGCTGTCAGTTTGTGTTTAACATCAGAGAGAGGTTTACTGAAAGTTTTTAAATCATACTTCAACCTCTTGAGTTTGTGCCATAGTATATACATTGGACTCCCTCTAATATAACCTTCCCAACTCCTCTTGACAAAGGCTTCATATCCAGGTATTTCAGTAAGGCAGATACTGAATTTGAAATGTCTGGTAGTTTTCTTCTGTTCTTTATTCTCCAGATATAGCAAGGCATGATCAGAAATATTTGGGGGGAGAATTTTCAAAATTGTTTCCAAATTGTTGAGGAACCATTCATTGTTACCTAAAAATCTGTCAATCCTTGAGTATATAGGTCCAGCTGCCTGTTTATTGGACCATGTGAAATGGTCTCCAATGCTATCCATCTCATGTAAACCTGTATTTTCCATCATGCTTCTCAGGTCTGCATATTCTTTCTCAGTCACCAGCTTTCCTCCCATTCTGTCCTGGGCTTTGGTTACATTATTAAAGTCTCCAATGATACACCAGGGTCCTTGAATGCTTCCAAAAAGATGTTGTATCTCTTTCCACATGGTTCTTCTTTGGTGTAACTGGTTATGGCCATAAATTGCAGTCAACTAGTATTTGAAAGTTCCACTATTATCATCTACACCACAATGAATAAATTGGCTGCTACTTTGTATAAATTTTACATTCACCCTGGTTCTGTCCCAATGAATCCATATCCTTCCATTTGTATGGTCTTTGTAGTTGTCTATGGAATTATCATAAATTCTCAACTGTTCTCGAATGGCCTTGGCTCTATGTTCTTTAACTCTTGTTTCAATCAATATGATTATAGAAGGCTTTAGATCTTGGAGACGGGACCTGATCTCACGAATTTTTCCTACTTTATTGAGTCCCCTTATGTTCCATGAAGCTAACATGGTTCAAGGTTTGTGATCACTTGATGGTCATTCAAAACCTCAAGTGTTTCAAAACCATTGGCACAATTGATATTGTTTGTTGTATCAGTCAGTATGTTTTTGCCCTTATCCCGTGCAGATTTTCTCACCCTTGTCCAAGATGCTCCATCTTCACCATTTGTCTCTCCTCCTGCTGGTTGTTTAGTAGGTGTGATGTTTGTGGTTGGTTCCATTGGCTTGGGTTTTGGTATCCATTTTTGAGTCTTGCCTCTGTCTTCACAGTTATGCCCCAATTTTTGACATGTCTCACAGAATTTTGGTCGCCATTCATGTTGAACAGGCTGCATTATGATGTCTCCTGCAACATTCCTAATGGTTATCTCATCAATCAATGGTTGTGTAATATCCACTTCAATCAATATTCTTGCATATGAGACACACAACTTGTTCGCTCTGCATTCATTAGTCACTAGTGGTTTGCCAATGGCACTTCCAATTTTACTAAGACTTTTTGCTCCCCAAAGATGTAGGGGAAGTTGAGGTAATTTGGTCCATATTGGTAGTGTTCTAAGTAGATCCTTTTTCAGCTTGAAACCAAATTGCCATTCTTTCAGTATCATGGGCATATTTCTAATCGTGTAAGGGCCTCTCATGATGACAGCTTCCTTGTCTTCCTGTGAGTTAAATCGTAGCAGAAAATACCCGTCATCATGGTAATAAAGATCTGGTATTTTGATGAAGTTCCACATTCTTTGCATAAAATTCTTCACCGTGTTCATACTCAAATCATCTCCCACAACATATAGAATTGGGGCGTTATCCCAAAACCGTAGCTCTGTTTCAATGTCTTCCTGTTCAATATCAATTTCAATCACTCCATTAATTACCTTTGGTGCAACATATTCCATTGATAAACCCTTAGCAGGGTTTCGATAGTCACTAATGATGTCAACCCATAACTTTTGCTCGTCCGATTTTGCTTGTGGTGATTCTGTTAGGGTTTCCGTGGTATCTTTCGCGAGCTTCCCAATGTTTGTACCATCTTTGTTCAATGTAGGGGTAGTGCTTGGTTCTTCCTCAAGAGTCTTCACATTAGCAAGATTCTCCGGTGACGGTGGCACCGTGGATTTCGGCCGCTCGCTCCCTCGTTTTGTCGTCGCCGTCATCTCTCAATCACTAATTAATATAGAACTTGTTAAAAGTGGATTTTATTATGATTTACTTATTTATTTATTATGAAAAAAGAGCAATTGAAATTAAATTAAACACTAAAATAACATTTTTATTATATTTTTTAATATTATAAGAAAAACTTAAATTAAAATCTAATTTAATATTTTTTTTATTTCTTAATATTTAAAAGTTTAAAAATTATTTTTAGTTATTTATTTAATAAAACATTTTTTCAGATTTTTATTTTTTTAGATATTAGTTGTTAGTTGGTTAGTTAGTTAGTAATATTATTATTAATAATAATTACAAAAGGAATAAAGAAATAATAAAACAAATAAAATGAAAAATAAAAATGGGTTGGGCTGGGTCATCACACCCAGACCCAAACCTGGTCCAATATAAAAGAGGGAAGAGACTAGGGTTTGTAAACCCTAGTTCTTGTGAGGCAACGACGCCCCCCCCCCCTTTGTCTCTGAGGTCACGATTTTTCCTTCTTCTTTTTGCTGTCTCCGATTTTCTTTGTCTCTCCTCCTCTTGGGCTGTGATGACACCTTCTTCTTCTATTCTTGCTGCACGAAATCTTCCTTTCCCCAATGCTTCTTCTTCTTCTGACAATTTCCTGAAAAAATGAAAAAGAATACATAGAGATAATGTATTTTACCCAAAAGAAAACAGTGGCGGACAAAGCGATGACGAACTTCTTGTTCTGAGCTTATTATTGAAGGGTTTGCAGATTTGTTTCGCTTGTTGGTGGTTTTACGTTTGAAGTTCGTTGGTGGGTTTGTGGCCCTTTTTGCGGATGAGGGTTTCCCAGATCCGTGTGAGGTTTTGACGGTTTTATGGTTGTTTTGATCTGCGGCCAGTGATGATCTATGGATCTGAGGCCTTGTGATGTTTTATGGTTGATGGATTCATAGTTTTACGGCCAATGATGAAAGTTTTCTGAGGCCTTTTTGGTTTTTCGTGTGAGGTTCCGGATCTGTGGGTTTTTTAACTGATGATTTTTTGTTATGATTTTCGGTGGTGATTTCGTTGGTTTTTTCGGATGAGAAACTTATGATTTTCGGCCCCCCTCTTCGTCTGATTTTTCGTCTGCTTTATAACCCAATTTTTGTTATTGATTTGGAAGAGTTTTTATGAACTTTCCTTTTTTAAAGAACATGTTTTGACATGTTTATGATGATTTTGGAAAGTTTTTGAACTTTGTCTTGGATCTGATGGATTTCCATTTCCGTTTTCAGATATGTTCTTGTTGACGGTGCTGATGTTGAGGATATTCCATTTTCGAAATCCTTTTTGATGGCATTGATGAGGCTGTCTGATTTCCATTTACGGATTATGTGCTGTCTGTTGGATTTGAGGTTGTTGCTCTTACCATTTCTGGATTTTGGATATTGATGATTATTGATTCATTTACGGATTTGGCTATGGCTGTCGTTGAAATTTGTCTTCTTCTATTTTCAGAATTATGTGCTGTTTGAACAGAAAAGAAATCATTTTTCTAAAAAAACCTTTAGTCTTCTTTTTCGGATAGAACAAATATTGCCTTGATTTTGGGCTTGAAGCTGTTGGGAAAATGGAAGTTGGCGACGAATTTTCGTTGCCCTTCCAAAATTCCCAGTGATGAAATTTACTCTGAGGGTCGAAAATAATTTAAAATCATTTTTTGTTAAAGATTCTAAATTTTTGATGTTTCTGTTGTTGTTTTGCAGGTTTGTTTGAAGCTTGAAGTATGCAGCTTGAAGATAGTACTAGGATTTAGGACTTCGAATTTAGAATTTGTAACAAAATGTAATCTAGAACATATCTGTAACGACTTGAATTTCATAATAAAATTCGGACTTGAAGATGTACTTGAACTTAAAATCTTGAATATGAATTTAATTAATCCTTATTTTGCCCTTTGTTCTATTAAATCGGAATTCCAAATTATTTCTTGCATTTTATATGACAACCATGAACTCAGAAGTTATAATTTGAAATTCGGACTAAACAACGGGTCCACAGGCACATCACCCAAACTCTTGACCTTGCACTCAAAACTTGTGGACTTGATTTCCAAAATTCTTCACTATTACCACGAATTGAAACCTTAATCCTAGTCCTTAGTCTTTGAATAATATCACCATAAATTCAAATTTCCCACCCGTCAATTAATAATCCAATTCCTCGGAGACGTCTTGAGGAGTGATTTTGCCTTGTAATAATTAAAGACTGTATAGAAAGTTGAAATCAACACGCTTAACAACACCCAAGATTAATTTCAAATTTTTTCAACACGCCTGCAAAATGAACAAACTAGGCAATCTGGTTAACGGTTAGTTAAAATGAAAAATGGACTAAAATGAAATGCTAAATGATCAGTGGATCTAAGGGTAAAATTTGGGGTGCGACAGTATCCAATGAAGATTCATCCAAGTTTGGAGGGCGATGATAGTACGAAACAAGTGAATGTTGTCAAGGTACATGGTTACCTTTGTTTAGAATTTTAGAGTGCTTAAGAACTTAAGTCTTTGTGCAAATGAAATTTGTTCTTTTAGCAACTTATTTGAATGATTGTTTCACTTAGGACCAAAAAACCACAATTTGTGAGAAAGCTTCTGTTGTGGTGGAAATAGGATATCAAATTATTAATTAATTTAAATCACAATTCAATTCACAACCGCTCTTTCATTTATCCGAAGGAAAAGGTCAAAAGAGGGAAAACCTATTTTTGCGTCGTAAACACAACGCGGGGAAAGATATAGGGTTCGGGGGTTAGTTAAGCTTAGGGAAGGTATTAGCATCCTAAACTTCTATAGTACTCTACAGGAACCTTTTGTTCAAGTTTGCTATTTTGTTTTATTATTTGATCAAGGTATATACAAAGGGAAAGGTTAAAAAGAAACCTAAGGGGTTAATTCTAAGTTTACTCGGCAAGACATCGCATCTTGTGCCTACATATCCTGACGGGAATGGAATCAGAATAATTATAGTTTCCCTCGTAAGGGAGGTTAGAAACGTCTTGACTGTGGTCAAGGTTTCAATGGGGAGTAAACGTATCTTAAGGACACACTTACGTAGAGTCTCGAAACTCCTATTTCTACGTTGAAATTGTTAATGAAATCAGGGTTAAATTAGGGATTCCACGGCGGGAAACCCTAAAATGGAGTGCGGCAACTCCTTGACCTAAAGCTAGGGTAAAGGATAATTTGGTCCACGGCGGGACCCCTAGGCTAATTAGGATTTTGGAAAGTGTTAAAGGTGAGGACTATTGACTCGACGGTCAAATGGTTAGACCTAATCCTTCGGATGTGACAGATTTAATGATAAATGTAAAATGCGATGGAAGATGAATAAGTATACAGTAATGAAATATAAAGTACTGGAAAAGTAGTGCGACGATTGCCTCGCAAAAATTACAACCGAGAGACAAATACAAATATGATAAATAAATATTAATTGGAGTTTGAGTAGAATCTGAGGAGCAAACAGAGAATATTAGTAAAAGGTTAGAAAAAAATATGACAAATAATGAGACAATTAATATTGAAAGAGAAATAAAATGTAATTTGAAATTATTGTTTTATTACTTTTGAAAAAGGAGTTTGGTTTAAAAAAAAAGAAATTCAATTTTAGTTTTTAAACAAGATCTAGTTTTAATTTTTGAAAAAAAATGTTTTCTCTTAATTAAAAAAGGTTTTAGTTTTGAATTTTTTTAAAAAATGTTTAATTTTAATTTTTTTAAAAGAAAATGTTTTGGTTTAATTGTGAAAAAAAAGATTGAGCTTTAATTTTGAAAATGTCTTTTTTGTTTTAATTTTGAAAAAGAGTTTTATTCTTAATTTAAAAATGTTTTAGTTTCATTTCTTTTTAAGAAAAGTTTTACTTTCAAAAATATTTTAATATTAATATTTACAAAGTTTTTAATTTTAACATAAAAAAAAAAACAAGAGAAATTAATTTTTATTTTACCTATGCAAAAAAGGTTAATTTTATTTACTTATTATTATTATTATTGTTTTAAAGAAAAGCTTTTAATTTAACTTAGAAGTTAATTGCTTTTTAATATTTAATTTACAATTTTTTTATTCAACTAAATAAAACAAACAAATCATAAAAAAAAGAAAAAAAAGTTGAATGTAACATAAAACCGGGTCGGGCTGGGTACCCATGCCCCAGACCCGACCCAGCGGTCAATATATAAAAGCTGAGAAAAAGAAAATTAGGATTCAATGAACCCTAACCCCCGCGGCGGCACCGATCCATCTTCTTCTTCGTTTGTCCGTCTTCGCTTCATCCATGTTCTTCTTCTTTGTTTTTCTGCAAAAATGAGATATACATTTAGATTCAGATATAGGCAATTGCTCACCCTTTAGGTTCAAAGCGGTTGTGCTGGGTTTTAGAGCTGGGCGGCCGATGATGAATCTGCATTGAGGCTCGCGGTTTGCGTTATTTGATGCTTGATGGCGGTATTGAGGTTCGTTCTGGTGTGTTCCGTTGTTTGGAGTTTGAGCTGCTTTGATGATTTTTTTGACGATGATGCTTTATCATTGGATGATTACGCCGCTTGGTTTGATGTACTTGCGCCGTTTGTCATCGGTGAGTCCGTTTTGGTAAACTCCTTTATTGTTGTTGTTTGCTAATGGCCGCCGTTTTTGTGGTTTTGTCACTAGTGAGTTTGTTCTGGTTTTTTCCGCCGCTTTTGTGATTACGGCCGCACCCCTTTGTGTTAGGGTTTCGGTTCTCTTTATACTTGCTCTTTTTTTCTGCTGTGGGCTTTGGACTTGTGGATTTTACGTTATTATTTGGTGCTCTGAGATTTGATTTTAAGATTTTATTTGATGCAGATTTGATTCTTTTGGATCCTTGATGGTGTTTTGATTCCGGATTTGTGATTTGTTGATTTGTTTTTCTGATACTGATTGGATTTGTTCTTTTTCAAACTTTGGATTCAAATTTCTATTCCTACATATAAACCCAGCTTCGATTTATTGGATATCCACGGATGTCT